GAAATTTCTAAAGCATTATATGCTTGTGTCATTTGTATAGAACGTTTGCATAGACTCTCCTGCTAACGGGTATAAAAGGGGGCCTAAGCTCACGTGTTTCACATGATTCGCTTCCTGGTCGCCTTGACATATATTGCAGTACAGACATGCAGTTGTGAGCTGCTGGTGTAAGAGGTAAGCAGAAATATAGTTGTGCTTTAAACCGTTGTGTTTACACGTGGAAGAACCTCACGTGAACCTCATGTCTTGGTATCGACTTAGATCCTTTACGTGATGATATCATGCTATTATCCTATTACTTAAATATCACTTACCAATGAGCGGTCATCGTCACCCGTTCTTTCCCATACTGTGATTTATGACCAAGACTAAATCTTAGCCTGTGAAAACATTTCTTTGAAATGATATGTTGGTGGTCCAACTTTGATTGAAAAGCTTACTTGTAAGCAAACTACATTTGTTCTGGTAATGTGTAATATATAATGTCCAACCGTCAACGTGACCAAGTGAATGTAAACTGCATGTTATAAGCAGAATCTGATTACATATTGTTCGACATGATGTTTGGTGAAATTCGGTTTGTCGTCTTGAACAAGATTGTGGCACTACATTGTGTGGTTTGGTGCAGTGTTGTAAGTGGAGGTTTGCTAGTGCGCACGCGTGTGTGTATGTGTGGTAGCGTGCGTGCGTGTGTGCGTAGGTGGGTACATTGGAGGAGGAGTGTCGAATGATATGTCGGTGCATAAATCGGCATGTGATTTATAATATCATGGTTTTGTTTCTGTATCTTCCTTTACAATGACAAATATGTAACCGTGACTCGTCGCGAAAAGCTGCAGCATTGCTGATGAGGCGTTAAGCAATATTCACTCACTCACTCAACCGTGATAGTTTAAAAAGCAAAAGTGTATTTTAAAACATGGCATGTACGTGCATATATAGATATATATGTACACACCGCCTTCCATCACAACTGATATCAGGTATTACAAGGAGATCTATGACAGTTGAATGGCTGTTTTGCAATAACAAATCAAACATTTGCATAGAGGCATCAGACTAGAGACAGACACAATGTCTTAATCATGTTTTTCCTACATGCTTTACACAGTTTACTTCCTGGTAGCCTATACGTTACGTAAGTCCCAAAACATTCAAAGTAAATTTAAACCTACTACTATATATTTTAAACGTAGAATATATGTTCTTTTAATTTGTGTCTAGATTATCAAAAGTACCAATAGCTGAATGGATGGTGTAAATCCAGCTAGGGTCCATGCAGGAAGTAAATGTACTGAAAAGTCCCTAGTATGGTGATCTACCTTCAGTTGTTGGCAATTTATAGCCTGTTTTTATATTGTATTGTCATCTATAGTTAAACTGTTTTAGAGTTAATTACTAGTATTAAATTCATATCTGTGATGGTCTAGTTAGTTAACTGTCATTCGTTGACAGGTTTTTATAATTTGCCAGTAATTACTATGTACAACAATTAATTGTTCTCGTCACGATATGGCTGAAATATTTCCGATGTGACGATAAATTTTAACTCACTCACTTACTCGCTCACTGGTAGCCTATACATGTATGTCTGTTCATTGCATTGAAAGACTGTGAGCTGAATATGTGAGTTGTCTTTATTTTGCTCAAATCCGTGTTGTGTATTTGACTGACAAGTCATAATGCGATAAAAACCGGTGTATTGGTGCTTTCATACTTCCAGATATTACTGGATGAGCGAGTTAGTGAATTATTTTTTATCGTCACATCGGCAATATTTCAGCCACATCGTGACGGGAACAATTACTCACATATAAAGATTAGCAAATTAAAAAAATGTTGACGATGAACTGCAAAACTACTAGTGTATCACAGACAGAGACATAAAACTACCATGCAACTTAAAATTTATACTATACTAGCCACATAAAGAACTGTGCATTGTCAAAATATTATCCCAGTTGATAAGTACGATAACAATGTCACAGGTGCATATAAACTTTAAATGGAGGGATCATGAGACCATAACAAGTCGGGGGAATTTCAATTGAAAAGTCAATCACAATGACGTCACGAGTCCACAAGCAGGACAGGGGTCAAACGACCATGTCACAAGCTCAATAACGGGTATGTCCACCATCGGCATTGAGAACAGCAGTGCATCGACGACGCATAGAGCCTATCAAGTTCTGTTGCAAGGTCAAGGACGTTATCTGGCGGATGAGGAAGACGGCGTAGACGTCGATCCATCTCGTCCCAAACATGCCCTATCGGGGAGAGATCCGGTGAATGTGCAGGCCAAGGCAGTAAGTCAACGTTGTGGTGTTGCAAGAAATTCATAGCAACCCTTGCCGTATGAGGGCAGGCATTGTCCTGTTGGAATGTTAACCCAGGGCCATGACGTTGCAGAAAAGGAATTGCCACAGGTCGAAGAATCTGATCCCTGTAGCCCACACCAGTTAAGTTGCCCTGAACAATCACCAAAGGAGTTCTTTGGCGAGCTGTTATTACGCCCCAAATCATTACGGAACCACCACGAAAGCGATTCCTCTCCAAGACACAGGCCGTTGGCGTCCATCACTATGGGAAATGTTAAACCTGGACTCATCTGTAAAAACAACATTTCTCCACCAAAACAAGGGTCTGCGGACATGGTTTCGGCACCACATTCGGCGAGCTTGTCGATGACGTTGTGTCAGGATAGGCCGTTTGGCTGGACGTCGTGGTCTGATCCCGTGATGACGTAAACGTTGTCGAACTGTGTTGGGGTGGATACGTCGAAGTCCTGGGATGGTTCGGGCAGTCATCATTGCAGTCTGCAAACCTGTGGCGAAGATGGGTCACCCTTATCCATCTTTCCTGTGCTGGCGTTGTTCCACGTGGACGTCCAGAACGTGGCCGATCGATGACGTCATTTGTGTTCTGGTAGCGTCTCACCAGTGCAGAAATGGTGTTCCGGTGGCAGTGGAAATGTGTAGCCACTTGTCGCTGAGACATTCCCCCACGGACCATCCCAATGGCCTCATGACGTTGTGCAGACGTGAGCCTTCGCATGCTATGCGTTTCAATAGCCATTTAATTTTTTGACCGATCGCAGGGGCAGGGGTTGAGCTTTCTCAAGTGACAGTATTGTGTGGCATTCATTTGCTCTGTTTCTCTTTCCCGGAATGCACGTGCAACAACGTCTTGCACGTCTCAAGGACGAACCCACTGACGTCACGGAACGTGGCACGTGCATGCATGTTGGATACATGTCACTAGTTTAAATCCTTATGTGTCTACACAGGTTTGATAAATTTAGATTTAAAATTTTTGTATGCACAGTTTCTTTATGTGCCTAGTATATAATGGAAGACAAAAACGGGCTTCAGTTCACCAGCGACTCAAGGTAGATCATTAAACTTGATACCATGGGGACCTGCATTCCTTCAGCCGTTGGTGATTATAGGTAAATTCAGCCATAACTTAAAATCACAAAAAATACTACGCTTTAAAATATTCGGTAAGCTGGATTTACCTTGAATGTTTTCTGACTTAAGTATCCGTACAGGAGGATAGTTATTTTACCCTACTTCAGCCCCCTGTGAGGATACAGCCTCTCACAATCTGAGATGCAATGACTAAGTATCAATTAAAGTTAAAAAGATTCGGAATTGTTTTGACATTGAAATATTGACACCTTGTGATGGAAACTATTACTAGATGATGTCCATGCATTGTTACCTATGCTTTTCACTGTCATTAAATCGTAGTCTGTGAAAGAATTCTTTCAAATCACATGCAATATGTATCTTTCAAAAGTTTCTCATGAGCTGTTTTCAGGAAACTACTGCCACTGTATCAGCCCAAGGAGTGTCCTTTCATTGCAACGAATTTCCATTTCGAAACGATTTGGTTTGTGAATGTCTGCGTTGCTATATACAACAACATATACAGGTGTTACAATGGAGTGCATACGTTGTTTGAGGAAAATAAGAACTCGTGAGTCACTGGAATATTATCGACACGGCAATGTATTTAATGCTACGTCCTTTCTTTAAACAAACACATAAAGTAACTAGTCTTATTCATGAAAACACAGACACATACTGTTTAATATGTCAAGATTACTGTGTGGAATCTCGGATATGGCGAAGTATCTACGTACTGATAAGTATCTTCAAACTGATATGACATTATTTCACTGTACGTTGTTTATATATACTGATAGGAATCTATTCTTCCCCCGGGACATATGGATACACGTCAACAGACAGTCAGTATGATTCAACTGTGAAAGCGCATTCATATCAGATATAGACACTTGTATCCATGGACAGGTGAACAGCAGATTGAATCTTCATCAAAAGTACAAAACCAGCAATAAACAGGGATCAGGGTGTGTGTACCTCCTGAATGTATGGTTCATAAAACAATAGACAATACCCTTCCTTCGTCACTGTTTCATGAAAAACACTGTACCCATGTATAAACCATGTCTATGCATATACACTAATTACTTTACATTCTATACATGTATAAATAAGTATCTGTACATTAACATTTTCTAAATTAATCAATCATTTTGTATAATAAGAATCTGTACATTTCTAAATAATTTTGCAGTAAACAATATTTTTAAATATCATGTATTCCTATTAGCCCTGTTAGGTGTATCCAGTATGAACTCCACATGTATTGCGTCGTCATGCATTGCGTCGTCATAGTACTGTGACGTCATAAGCATTGTGACGTCATGGGCACAGTTACCAGTTACTGTTCATTAGTTTTACCTGATGATGGGGCCGGAACAGGCCCCGAAACGTTTAATCAAAGAATAAAAAGAAGATGAATTCCAAAAAAGAATGTATGCGTTGATGTTTGTTTTGAATGTCAATCTGGTGACACTCACTATCTATACATTTATTTTCATTAGTGTAAACAATTCGTGTTACTTTGTATTTTCTGCTAGGGAGCCACGATGTGTTGGTCTTGGATAGGATCGCTCGTGGTCTGTGCCACTCTGACCCTCACTGGTAAGAAATGTATTCACGTAATGTGAAATCAGTGTCCATATATGCTTCGTAGTTTCTTGACTTGATTCACCAAAATACAAAGCTATCCCGGAAATTTATTATATATTTTACTATAATGTACATTTGCGGATAAAAAAATAACAATCAGTGGTATTGTTCAAGAGGATGTGCTTGTTTAAACAGATGCCGAATGTCACTGTAACACCAGTACTGCCTGTGCCGTGTTCCCCTCTACTCCCTGTAGCCAGGTCGGTGGTCCAGACAGTTGTCAGGAAGGATGGTTCGGTTCCTACTGTCAGAAACGTGAGTAGGAAGTAATGAATATCAATAATATCATGACTGCATGTCAAAAAACATTTGTTACTTCATTTGTGAATCTGGTTATGTTTTCACATTTTCAGAAAACATAGCTTTGCGGAGATCTTGTAACCAGAGCAGTACATATCCAGGTGGTTATGCAGCAAATGAGGGGGTAGATGGCGAAACGGCTTTCACTGTATCAACATGTACTCATACAGAGAATGAAACAAATCCTACCTGGACTGTGAATCTGAACACTTCAGTTCCAGAGAAGATACAACATATCAGACTCTATCTACGTGACAACCGTGAGTTCACACACATGCAGATGGTATTATAGCACGCTGCAAGGAATTGATCATGATTATTCATAACCTTTTTGTTCGATTTGCATTGGATTGTTCTGTTATCACAATTATTCTGTTATCACAAATGCAAAATCACACTGGAATAGAATATCTCGGAAAATAACACTTCTTTCCAATGAGCGACCAGCTTTAAACTGCAGATATATCAAAGGACAAGAATGCCATGTCACCATATAACATGGAATGACGAAGGAACAAACTGCATTTTGAATTACTTAATATTTACAGTGCAGCCTGAGAAAGGTGTTAAGCTTTAGATTCGTTAGAAACTGGTGAAGTAGACCTATAGTTACGGTAAGTGATGGACCTGAAAGATATCTTCCCAACAGAATGAATGAAACATAGGGGAAATGATAAAATAGCACTTACAGTTTTCACGCAATAGAATCAGCGACAATCAAGCTGTCAGTATACATAGCCGGGAATGCAGAAAATCTGTTGTTGTTTGTGTAAAGTTTTAAATACAAATTAATCAGGCAACGATGAGGTACTATAATGCTGAAATGAGTTGCTAAATAGTTGTTAGAAGTTTCAGCCCAGTATCTTTCCTCTTCACTGAAATGCAAAAGAAACGCCAGATCGACAGATGATTAAAGCACACACTATAATTCGTTCTAAAAAAACAATCAAAACGGTGACTTGCGCTCGAACTTGCCAACTATGGTTATGGTGAATTCGGGAATCACATTTATACCTCACACACACAAAATCACCCAAAATGGTACCATGAGAATACCTCAAAATCAGTATCGTGTGTGACTTCCATGAACATCAGTGACGGCGTTGCATTGTCTGTACATGGAATGAATTACAGTCCGTTTGGTCTGTCGATTTCATGTGACTGTGCAAAGTTTGATTTTGTTGCATTTATTAGATTTTGTGTTAGTGAGCAATTCATCGGTCTCAAATAAAGTCAAACGGACTATAGCTGGTTGATGATGGTAATAGGCACTTGAGTCCATACTCTGCGAAATGTCTGATCTAGTCCAGCCGCAGTTGGTGGTCTTCGTTGGAGGTCATTCAGTCTTTTTTGAATGTCGTCCCAAAGGTATTCTATTGGAGTTAAATCTGAGTGCAAGCCATGCTGTCTTAGGAAGTCCAATGTTGCTCTGGCAGTGTGGTCACAAGCGTTGTCTAGCTGGAAGATGTGATTTCTGTGACGTCCAAAATGTGGTACAATGTGAGGTCAATATCGAGAGCAGCTGTCACGCCATTTCCTCATCCTGGACCTAGATTCTGGAACACCACGGGGCCACAGAACGATTGCGTCCCACACCATGATGCTTGGACCACTCCACGAAACTCTTTCAACATTACACGTATTGGAAAACCGTGCCCCACACCTACGCCATACTTTCACTCTGCCATCGGCTGTCGAAACATAATATCGGCTTTCATCAGACAAAAAGTACAGTTCTCCATTGTCGATAACGCAAATTCCATGCTCAGTTTCCCATTTTACTCGGATTTGGAGGTTACCAGCGGTGAGGACAAGACCACGATATTGTCTGTTACAGTAGAGGTTTCTTCCGCGCAAACGTTAACGGACTGTATCGGCACTAATGAGTCTGTTATGAGTCCCAATGATCTGGTGTGCTGTTTCCGTCGCTCTGGTGAAGCGATCCGGCAGATGGTTGTACACGATCTGTCGGTCTTGACGTTGTGATGTTACTGAAGGTCGTCCACTGCGTGGGCGGTCTTGGATGATGTCAGTGGCCTGACACCGCTCCTGAAGTCGGGAGATTATCCTAACATGAACATTAAAATGAGTTGGCCAACTACCAATCGTCCCAAGGCTTGGTTCCTCTTATCTCTCGTAAGTCGCGGCATGGCGATTCTGTCAAAACAAAAATGATTTCAAGCGAGTTTAGAACTCGCTTTCATTGGTAGGGTTGTCACGGATATGTACGTGCATTTTCATTTTCACGAATGTCTTACGGAACCTTTTACCACATCTGCCCTTTTAGGTGCATTTGATCGATATGCTTTTTCATCGGAAATCACATTGATGTTGGTAATAACTGTCAATCCTACTGAACATCATTGGAAACGCGCCACCTGTATTAATTTGGATTTCCCAGAGCATAAATGAGCAATCGGTGTAAATTTTACATACTTTTGTAGTCCAATGATTGGTAAAGAAAAGAACCAATCCAGGAAAACAGTGAAGTTTTAATTCAGCTGACCATGAAAGAAAGATGGAGTCAAATTGGAAAGTCAATAACGTGTATGACTACCGTTAGAAGCAACACAAGCTGTGCAACGTCTCCTCATTGAACTGATAAGTCTCTGAATAATGTTTTGAAGCAATGCATTCCACTCTTGTTGCAAGGCATTCTGAAGTTCCCCAAGGTTGTTGATCTGTGGGCGACGTGTGAGAGGCATTTGCCAATGTAATCCAACACTTGTTCAATGGGAGACAAATCTTGTGACAATACAGGCCATGGAAGTAGAGGAATGTTGTTGTTTGCCAAAAACTGTGTTGCAACACGTGCAGTGTGCGCTCGAGCATTGTCCTGCTGGAATGTGTGCAGATCTTGATGTTGGTTAAAGAAGGGAACGACGTTTTTCTGAAGAATGGTGTCACGGTAGTAAAAGGGCATTTACTCTGCCACGACAAACTACCAGAGCGGTTTTGTGATGATAAGTGATCCCCCCCACCATAATGCTTCCTCCACCCCACCGATCTGTTTGCACAACACAGTCCTGATGGTAACGTTCTCCCCGTCGACGCCATACCCGTCGCAAGTGAAAACGTGACTCGTCGGAGAACACAACACCATGCCAACGTCGTAACAACCACAAACGATGCTGTTCAGCCCATCGTCGGCGTTCACGGCGATGTCTATCAGTCAGGATGGGTCCAACATAAGGGCGTCGACACCGTAACCCTGCCGCACGGAGACGGCGTCGGACGGTCGAAGCACTGATCAAACCACGTCGGCCTTGGACAGCATTGGCGGTTCTGGCACCCGGCAACGTACGATCCCGAATATGGCGCCGAACAATGTCTCGATCTTGGCGAGGGGTGGTAAAACGTGCCTGGCCAGGACGTTGGCGGTCCCTGGTGGTTCCTGTTTGTTGGTACCTGTTGGCAGGTCTTATGATGGTGGAATGATGGCAACCAAATCGTCTGGCAATAATCCTGCTTGATGTGCCAACCTGCAACATGCCCGTACTCGTTCCTCTGGTGACAATCTTGGCATTGCATAATAAACTTTACTTGCTGAGGTACAGCTAAAATGAGAACGGTTTTTTTGCCGACGGTCATTTTTACCCCTCATCAGCATGTTTTATGCATGCAATTTGTGCTTTTCGTGTGTGTTGTGCATGAATTTTGTTGTTGCCATGTAATGTTTATAAAAGCATGTCTCGTCCTAGCTGGGGCGGTGGGGTAGCCTAATGGTTAAAGCGTTGGCTCGTCACGCCGAAGACCCGGGTTCGAATCCCGACATGGGTACAATGTGTGAAGCCCATTCCTGGTGTCTCCCGCCGTGATGTTGCTGGAATATTGCTAAAGGCGGCGTAAAACCAAACTCAGTCAGTCAGTCAGCCAGTCCTAGCTCCATTTTCGTCATGTATCATCGTATTATTACAAATTAAGGTGAAAATGCAGCAGAGAGGGTTCGGGTGATCCTGGCACAGTCAGGCCGGTTAGGCTCATCATCAGCTCAGGGCCATCGCCCCCCTCTACACGCAGCCCAAACAGCGAATGGGACTTCTCCCAGAGAACACTGCCTAGTCGAACCCACCTAGAACTTTCCATAGAATATGAAGGCTCCCCAACACTGCAGCCTTCTGCATTACCCAGAGTGTAAGAAGGGCTGTACTCGGTGGAGAACCCGGGAACTCTCCTGATCTGCGCCAAGAGATCAGGAGGTACCAAACCGAGGGCACCGAGAACAATGGGGAGTCTGACTACAGTGTACTTGGGATGCAAGCGAGGCATTTCAAAGGTGAGATCGGCATATTTAGCATGCTTTTCTTGAATTTTGCCACTCACGTTGCTGACAAAAGGGACACACGATGCAATGGTCTCTCAGAAAGCTTCTCCACAAATGACCGATTCTGGGCAGAATTGGTAAAGGACTTCACCTGGTTTATTCGCATCGCTGTACCGCCCAGCAGTACATCGCCTACTAACATTGAAAGGCGCCTTGATTTTCCCTCGATCATTGGATGACAAAATCAAACGTCACACCATATTATCAATCTCAACTCCCAGGGGATCATACAACTCTTGCAGCCACTAGGCGCATCGAGTTAATGTGGCTTTCCCATCCTTACGAGGTACCCATTCACAGCTGAGTGGACAGCGATACATAGTCACAGTACTTTGTCCAAGTTTTACTACACGTAGCTGTACTTGCAACTAGGTGTTGTTTGCACGTATTCATGTGGTCACCATCTGGTCATTTACCGTGGGTTCTTTCACGCGCACAGGGTTTTGGATGTACACTAGGGATTGTAACATCACTGAAAGAGTCTGACACAAAAGATGTTACACTCGGTCACAGGCCGGTTCGATCCCGGCACCTCAAGCTCGCTGGATCACTACTCTGGCGTTTTAGACAGCTCGCCCACCACGCCCATGAAATGGTATAACCCTAACGCTAACCCTAATCCTAACCCTAACTCTTGTACCAGTAAGCATGATACTTATAAAGAAATGTTAATTTCTAACATATTCCCCTAACTAGTAAGTACCTGTATGGTTACATCTGTGTTTTATCGTATGTCCGTTTTATCTTTCCCTTCTAATTTTTA